GTTTTACTTCTATTCGAGATCATATCTAGTCAAAGATAAAGGGATGGAAGAACAAATTGTTATCTAAGGCAAGAAAAAAAGTGTTGATAAAAGTTGTTGTGCAGGCTATTCTCACTTATTATATGGGGTCTTTTCATTTACCACAAACCTTTCTGCAATCTCTAAATAGCATCATTAGTAACTTTTGATGGGGTGACAACTCTGATAAGCGAAAATTCATTGGTTGATGGGACTTAGTATGTTGTCCGAAAAGCTTAGGCGGATTAGGATTTTGGGATTTCCATGCCTTTAATCTTGCTATGCTTATAAAACAAAGTTGGCGTCTCATGCAGGACTGCTCTTCTATATGTTATCAAGTTTTCAAAGCCAAATATTCTAAGAATGATGATCTGCTTGGTGTTAAATTAGGAACAAATCCATCTATGGTGTGGAGAAGAGTTATGGCTGGCCTTATCGTTTTAAAAAAAGGCTCGCGCTAGCAAATTGGAGATGGAGCTTCAGTGCGTATGTGGCAAGACCAGTGGCTCCTCAATATTGATTGGCTTTCCAATCTTCATGAGGATTAATCTCTTCCAAAGGATGCTAAAGTAACTCGCTAATTGATCAGCGTGCTGGCCAATGGAATTTAACGAAACTCCAGTAGGTGTTTTCAAGTGACATTGTAGAAAAAATTACACATATTCCATTGAGCAGACAGTGTAGGCATGATCGTTTAATTTGGCAGCATACGACAAATGGCAGATATACAGTGAAATCTGCATATAGATATGCATGGGATGCTGTTTATGGGTTGAACTTCAATGATTTTAATGATCTTATGAAGCTGGTGTGGAAAGCTGTGTGGCTTATGGACACATTGCCAAAAATTAAGCATTTTCTTTGGAAATTCATCTGGGAAATCTTACCAACTCCAATGGCTTTGCAAGGCCATGATGTTTAAGTTGAAAGCTATTGCTGTATTTGTGAATAGGCTGAGGAATCTATGCACCACTTATTTTTAGCTGTCTTTGGAGTGCACGAGTTTGGACAAGTTCTTGCCCTTTCTTCAACAACAACAACATTAGAGCTAACTCTTACTTGGACGATTTCTTGAATTCTTTTTTGGCGCTTAGCAACAAAGAGAAGGAACGTGTTGCAATCACACTTTGGAGCATATGGAACAATAGGAACAGTTGTTTGTTTCAGCATAGATACTCACAACCCAGATTCTTTGTCACTTGGATCTCCAAATACATAAAGAAATACACCATACCAACTACAGTTGATGACTAGATCAGGTTACCGAATGAAACTACCTCATTAGATGTTTGCCAACCATCAAAGCAGGATATAGTTAAAATTAATACAGATGTTACTGTTCCACAACACCAAAACTCAGTTAACATGGGAGTAGTCCTTCGGCAATGTGATCATAAGGTATTAGGGGCTGCCCTACGCATTTGCTCTTTTAAGAGATCAGTTCTTCAAGCAGAGGTGATGGCAATTAATTTTGCATTGCAGGTGGGAAAGGAATTTGGATGTAAAAAGTTGGAAATTGAATATGATAACGTGCAGGCAGTAGCTATTGCAAACTCTATTGATGAATGTTATCTTCCTTTTGGTGCTATTGTTGAAGATCTTCGAGCTCAAAAAACTAGATTCGATTCTCTTTGTATCAGGTATGTTAGGAGAAGCTCAACATTTCGGCTCACAAACTAGCACATATTTTCTCACTTTCTCCACCTTGGGAGAGGGTTTGGGTTGATTCTTTGCCCACTGCTTTATGTAATGATTTTGACTATTGAGCAATAATATATTCCATTTATCAAAAAAAAAAAAAAAAAGAAATCTCATTCC